GGCAGGATGGCTCAGCTGGTGAGAGCACGTGCTCCTAACAACAAGGTTGCCAGTTCGACTCCCACGTGGGATGGTGGGCTACGCCCACCCGCAACTAAGATTGAACAGGGAGTCTTGAGCTGAGCAGCCCTGAGCTGCCGACGGGCAGCCGGATGGCGACTGGACTTGGAGCTGAGCTAGCTTTGCCCTCCACAACTAAGACTGAAGGACAACAACTTGGCTGTTCCCCTCCCCCAAATTCCCCAATAAAACCTTAAAAAAAAAGTTGTCTCAGCCTTGTCTTGAACAGCCCATCCTCTTACTTCTCCTCTGCTCTGGAGCCACCTGAACTGCTTTCTGTGCCTCAAACTCAGCAACTTCTCACATGCTGCTCCCCCTGCCTACTGGACTCTCCCTGACTCACCCCTGCATCCTCCAGGTCTCAGCTTTGATGTACCCTCCTCCAGGAAGTCATCTCTGATCCTCAGGCTGGGTCAGGCGCCCCCTCTGCACTCTCCCGCCCCAGCCCTACCCACTGGTCACTGGACTGGGGACAGGTCTGCCTTCCTCTCTGGATGTGAGCTCGTGAGAGCAGGGCTGGGGTTGCCTTGGTCACTGCCATGTCCCCAACAGTACTAGGCATAGGGATCGGCACAGAAGAGGAGTTCACGGAATTTGTTAAATGAATGAGCAAAGGAATGAATGAACACATGGATTAATAGTAATTCCCTGACCCAGGCAATTACGTTAAATTTTCTTGGTCTATGTGCTCCCAAAGACCAACAGCTTGTCTTGCCCATAGGGAATTAAAAAAAAAAAAAAAAAGCAATGCTCATATATTGAACTTTTACTATGTTTTTCAGCTCTCGGCTCAGATGCCCCCTCCTCCAGGAAGTCCTCACTGCTCCCTCCCCCCAGGCTGGGTCTGGTACCCACTGGAGCTCTCCCAGCCCAGCTCACTCTGTGCTTCCCACCCTTTGTTTATGACCAGGAATCCTTAACACAAGCATTATTTCAGCTTATGTAATATTTCCAGGTTGCTCATGATGAGCTTGGGATTGGGCCTGATTTTATTAAGCTCTCAACAACCAGGAACCACCATTGTTGCATTTCTTGTTTGTTGCCTTATAGCTTTATCCTCGACCCCCCCATACACACCAATCCCTGACCTAATGAGGTCCCGAGGGGGTGTCTCAGAATGCTGAGACCCAATGGAATGATGTTGGTTATCTCCCTTATCTTTATGGCCGCCTGCGCAGCGTTGCCATCCTGGGGATTGAGTGTGAGGGAGTACGAAGGCACTGCCAGTGTTGGGCAGGTTGATGCCATAAGGCACTTATCACACGGACTTTAGAAATGACAAGCTTCACTTCTTTGAAGTTTCCAAATAAAAGCCACACGCAGGCCTGATTTGGAGCTCAGTTCCAGAGAGGCTGCAGCCCCCTGGCCTCGCTTTAACTCTCTCCTTGACTCTTGTGTTTCTTTAACCCTGTGCCCCCCCCCTCGCTCCCCACTGCTCTTGCTGCGCAGAGACGCGGCACTTGTTATCATTGCCATGCAACATCAAGCTCTCAGTTCATGGTCCCTTTAACTAACCATTCTCAAGTCGTCCTTCCTTGGCTCCTCTTCTCCCCCAGTTGCTCTGCATCCCGGCAAAAAGGTGGGGAGGAGGGCTTTAGGGCGAGAGGACATCTTTCTCAAGAGGACCCAGAGCCAAGGGGCAGGGTTTTCTTTCTCCTTTTCCGCCTTGGGGAAACCCCAGGATTCCTGGGGCTCTTGTTCTCTGGACTAGGCAGAGGAAGGAGAGTGAGCCCTTTGGGTGGAGGGTGTTTACGGGGTCAAAGTTCCTCCCCGGCCACCACCTCTGTCTGTCCTGGGAGCTTCTGTCATCAGAGTGCCTGGGAGTTGCAGAGGAGAAGAGAAGGGGGCTGGAGTGAGGACAGTGTGTGTGTGTGTGCAAGCCAGGGCACATTGGAGGCAGGTGCCAGGAGCCATGGAGCCCGCTGACTCATGGGGCCACCACTGGGCAGGAATCCTGTTCTCAGGTGAGTGTCCTGCTCCCCTCAGATGGGGGTGGGGGGTGGAGGGGTTTTGTGTGTGTGTGTGTGTGTGTGTGTGTGTGTGTGTGAGAGAGAGAGAGAGAGAGAGAGAGAGAGAGAGAGGGAGGGAGAAAGGGAAAGGGAAAGGGAAAGAGAAAGAAAGACACACCCAGAGAGACCCAGAGAAAGACTCAGAGAGAGACAGGTAGAGGAGAGCTGGAACATAACAGGCAGGGAGTGAGATGGGCAGAGGGAGGATGCACCAGCCCAGAGTGGCCAGGTCACACATCAAGATGGGGACAGTTGTGAAACTTATGCTTAAAGGGTATATGAGGCAAAAGGGAAAAACTAGACTAGTATTTTGATTAAAAAAAGCATTTTGGAGGCAAAGAAATAATTTTGCAATGTGGCGTGCAGAGGGGAGGGCTCAGCCTGGCTTAGCTGTGTGGCCCTAAGACCTGCTCTTCCCTCTGGGAGGAGCTTCCTGACTGACTCTGGACCCTGAAAGGGCTCTAGGGTCCTCCTGGGGGGCAGGGGGAGAGAGGGAGAAGAGGAGAGAGAGAGAAAGATGGGGGAGAGAGAAGGAGGCTGTGTGTTTCTCTGCAAGGTTCGTTTCCTCCTGGTGCACAGAAGACAGGACNGCTGAGTCCCTTGGTCTCGCTCTTAATCTTACTTTTGTCTCTTGCTCTTATTCAATCTGCGTCGCCCCTTAAGAGAAACCTGTTTGCCCTTGCCACACTGGACGTGACAGCCTTGAATTCTGGGCGTCTCGTCTGCAGCAGGTGCCCTCAGCCAGCACCGGCAGCCATAGAGTTTGGGAGTGTGGTGGGGTCAAATGGCACAGGTGTTGATTGATCTCCGTGCGCAGAGGAGAGGGGGCTGGAGGCAGACAGAAGTCACATGAGGACCGTGGAAGGCGGCACACGTGGAGGTTAAGAGCGGGGTAGACCAGAATCCCTGGCTCGAAATGCCCTGTGACTTTAGGCAAGTCACGTCACCGCTGAGCTTCGGTGTCCTTAACGATGAGATGGAGTAATAATACCCCTCACCCTACTCTACTTTTCATTTTTCTATAGCCTATGTCCCCTTCTGACATCCCACGTAATTTGCCCATGTATTGTTTATTGTCTCTTTCCCACGAGGACAGGGTTTTCTGTCTCTTTGTCCCCTGCTGTCTCTCTTCCGGGTGCCTAGAGCAGGCACTGTAGGTGCTCAGGAGATGTGTGTTGAGTGACTATGTGAGTAAGTTACATACCTTCCTCACAGGGGCTGCTGCATTCCAACACACTAGGTGACAACACCTAGTGGGAAGTCACATTTGTTGAATGCTTACTCTGTGCCAGGCGCTGTTCCTGGCACTTTTCCCAGCGTTCACTCATTTGATCCTCACAGCCAGTTTGTGAGGTGAGGCTGTTTACCCTCCATGAAAACACTGAAGCACACAGGGGTGACATCACTTCCTGATAGAACACAGCAGGGGGGCAGGGCATGGAGAACTCAGGCAGCAGCCTTCAAAGAGGCAAGCCCAACATCATCTCCATCTTACAGCTGAGGAAAGTGGCCACTTGGGAATTGATGTCCCCAAGGCTGCAGGGTTAGCAAGTGGAGGACCCAGGCTTGGAGCCCCTGTAGCCTGACTCCAGAGCCGCTTACTCAGCCTTGTGCTTCATTGGAGCCGATACTTAGTGACCGCCTGTGGAATGATTGGGACCCACACAGGGGCAGCAAGGTGAAGCAGCTGGGCCAGCTGAGATCTTTTTTCCACTCGCCAAGATGCCCCTCATGTCCCAAGTAATCGTTTAAGAGTTGTCTCAGCCTGAGCCGGCCAAGTGGCTCAGTTGGTTAAGAGCATGAGCTCTGAGCAACAGGGTTGCCGGTTCGATTCCCACATGGGCCAATGAGCTGCGCCCGAGCTGAGCTGCCGCTGAGCTGCCAACAGGTGGCAGGATGGCTCAGCTGGTGAGAGCACGTGCTCCTAA